AGCACCTCAGTGTCCCCAGGGCCATGGGGTCTCCAGAACTTTGGGAACCCCGGTGCTGTGGGGTCCCCAGCACCTTGGGGTGCACAGGCGGGTCCTCAGAGCCATGGGGTCCTCAGAACCTTGGGGACCCTGGTGCTGTGGAGTCCCCAGCACCTCAATGTCCCCATCACCTCAGTGTCCCCAGGGCCATGGGGTCCTCAGAACCTTGGGGACTCTGGTGCTGTGGGGTCCCCAGCACCTCAGTGTCCCCAGGGCCATGGGGTCCCCAGCACCCTGGGCACGGAGAGGGGCTGGGCTGGCATCCCTGGGGGGCACGGGAGGGTCCCCAGAGCCATGGGGTCCCCAGAACCTCGGCGTCCCCAGTGCCGTGGGATCCCCGGTGCCTCAGCTCGGCCCAGCAGCGGTGCCACCCTCGTGCCCCCCACCCAGTGCCACCCTGTGTCCCCGCAGGGTCCTGACCTGCGGGCGGAAGCTGCTGGGCTTGTGGCCGGCCACTCAGGACAACTCCAGGGCCAGGTCGAGCGCCCCGAACTTCAACCAGCCCGACAGCGTCATCCTGCAGGTACGGCCGGGCATTCCAGGGGCACAGATCCCCCCAAAACTCCAGCTGGGGGTCCCCTCACCCTCTGCCTCTGCCCCAGATCGACTTCCCCAGCTCGGCCTTCGAGGTGAAGTTCACCAGCCCGCCCGCGGCCGAGGGCAGCCCCCGCTACGAGTTCGGCAGCCTGGGGGAGGAGGAGCAGCGCCAGCTGCGGGAGGCCATGCAGAAAAAATCACTTTATTGGTAAATAAAGCCGGGGCTGGCATCGCCCTGCTGGGGGGACACGCACGGAGGGTGGCACAGGGGGTGTGCCTCGCTCCGGGGCTGGGATGAGCTGGATTTTGGAGCTGGGTGGTTCTCCTGTGCCCTGCCCTCCCTGTTGTCCCCTCCTCGGGGACAGCTGAGCGGTGCCAGGCCAGGCTGGCACGGCCGGGGGGGATCGGGTGTCAGCAGCTGCACAGAGCGTGGGGGTGGCTCGGGGTCCCTGGCAGGGGGACAGGCAGGGACAGCTCCGTGTCCCCTGGGCACGGGGACTGTCCTGGCTGTCCCTCAGCAGGGTCCCGCTGGCCATCAGCCCCTCCGTGCGGGGAGGTTTTGGGGTTCCAATAAATGCTGGGGGCAGAGGGGACGCACACCCCATCCTGCCAGCCCCGATCTGTCCTTGTGGGGTGAGGGCACGGGGCTGGTGCCACCTCCCCATCCTGCCAGCCCCGTTCTCTCCATGCACAGTGGGGCACAGGGATGGCACCTCCCTGACCTTCCAGCCCCATCCCATCCACGTGTTTTGGGGTCACAGGGATGTCACCTCCTCACCCTCACACATGTTTTGGGGTCACAGGGGT